AACCAGCCAGCCTCTGAGGGCGAAGGGCCGTCCGGAGGCTCCGTGGCCTCAAGCTGGAGCTCGCCCCAGGCCTTGCGACTTCCGAGGGACACACTTTATCACTAGTCTCCATTTGGACAGCACGTCAATGGCCACTATATTGGGGAGTGTGACCTTCGTCACCCTGGGGTTCACCTATCCAATCAACGTCTTTCCAACTTAGAGACAAGGACACTGTCTAGAAGCCACAGTATCAAACGCTTTGCACAATCACAAGTAAATGACACGAGTCACTTCATTTATCCACCAGCACATTAATCCCTACGCAGAGAGGCAGTACCAAGTTTATCAAGCACAATTTGCTTGATTGTTCCAGTACCCTAGTGACAACAATTGTATAAATGGTCTCACTGATATCCTCAGGTTTGCATGGAATTAGCAGAGTTCTTGGAAAAATACATCAAGATCCAGTTTCACTGTTGAAAACCATCTGCAGTAGAAATGGTTGTTGAATGGATACTACGGAACATAGGACATCTCTAGTAATTTCTAGAGATGCCCAGAACTAAGAACATGGGTTCCCTCTGCTCCATGGAAATGTAGCAAATGCATTGTACAGAGAGCCCAGGGCTGTGACCCAGGTCTCCTGATGTGCCCACCTGTACAACTGGTCTCATGAAACACAGGAAGCTATGGCTAAATGGGAAGGCTTTATAAATGCTTTGTCCTTCATTTAAAGTCATGCCACAGACATAGGGGTGTGGCTGTAAATTTATATGCTGTAAATTCTGAAAATTTATAGGCTGTAAATTCTGAAACAAAGGCATAATTATCTTTTTGCCTTCTTAACAAAATGATCCATTATAGTTCATTTGATTCCATTGCTACAGTACACATGGAACCTGAACCATAAAGCCCAAGAACTGTAACTTCATTATTTTTCAATTGTGCTATCCCAACTGCTTTTCTACTGAAAGACAAAATTATCCATCAGATCTACAGTGAGAACTCAGACAGCTGTCACCTGAGACTACTTGGGATTCCTCTGACATTTACCAATCCTTTAACATACCCATGGGACCTATCTCTAAGTGCCTATTCTACTGCTGTGTAGTTCAAAACAAGCAAAAGTCGTTACATAGACAGATAGGTAACAGTTTCTGATGAGGACAGCAGTGATACCACTAAGAGGTCCTCCAAAGAAGTGCAGTAAAGACCAGAGGTAACTTGGCAGAATCAAACTTAAAATGTATTTTAACTCAAGCAGACAGCTCTTCCAAATGCCTCACTTAGCAGTCCTGTGTAGTGGGACATGTCTGCCCTCTGACTGGAATGACTTGGTGAGAAGTAGAGCAGGTTCTCACATTACAGCACAGGCACTTTGACATCAGGCTCCCCTTTCCCTGTTGGGGCCTGTCTCTCTTCAGCTGTGGACTCTGCTAACTCCTTCCCTTTATGGGAGGACAACAACAAAAGGAGGAATTTCCCTAGAAAGAAGTGGTTGCATGTCCCACTTGCAATGTCACATCCAATGCACAAGTTAGAAGTATCAGAATTGTTCATGGAGTTACAGAAGACAGATTGAGGGGGGAGACACGACGTGTGGGAGTGTTGTTGGCTGACAATGATGCCGGAAGGAAAAAGGGAGCGGCAACATCTGTGGATGATGTTTCTCCTTGGTTGCGAAGCTGTAAGATCTGGCGCAGCAGGGCTTTTCCTTCTTCTCTAGTCTGAAATTAATTTGTAGAAAACAGAACAGTACAACTATGAATGGATGGTTTCTGGGTCAAATTCAGTATGTAAGCAGTGTAACTTAAAGCAGCTTGTCATTCTGTAAGGCTACAAGCTATAAAAGCCATTCTCAACTCTTTTTTCTTCTGCTCCTTAGAAATGCTAAGGTAAGTCACTTTTTTTCATTTTAGTCTTTCCTCCTTTTACTCCTGATTGGTGTGTTTCTTGGGTATTTCAGAGAACAGAACCACCAACCACTGAAGCTGTCTAAATATTCCAGCAAGTAGATTGGGAAAACTTTGACTAAGGTGAACTCAGGTTGGAGAAAGCTCCAGGCAGCTTTGTCAAGAATAAGCCAAACACCCTGCACTCATGGTTAGTGTCTACCGACTTTACCAACATGAAATTAAAAATCCCAAACTGCCCACTTACAGATACATAACATCACAGAGTATGAAGCTGCACACAAAACCCAAGTACTGTTATACTCTCTGTGCCGTCTACACAAAGAAGATGAGGAAAAAAGTTTTAAAAGTACCACCACTACACAGTGTATGGGAGTTTGTGACCATTCCACTACCTCCTCAACACCAATATTTTTAGCAGCTTTAAGACTGCCATTTGAAGCTTCAAATTCTTTTACTTAGTGAATTCCAATGAGGTATGGTTCAGTTTCACTATCTATACCACATTCCATGACTTTTATCAAACATACTCAGCATAACTGATCATAGATAACAACCACCATTCAGGATGCAACTTGTATGGCAGACAGCCCTTATTCATAGAAGACTCCTTCCACTCTGAGGGGAGCCAAGATCAAGGTCATAGATCCCTTAAGAAAGAAGCACCAAAGACTGCACAGGTACTCACATCATTGAAGGCACAGCATTTCTGAGCACATGCTGAGGCTTCATCCCAAAGCTTACATTTGAAGTAGTACTGGGCCAGGTAACGAAATGCAGTACTGACCTCCAGGTGCTCCACTACCTCCTACAGTGAGTGGGGTATAAAACATCATTTGTAAGTGCCTTCCTAAGTAGCTGTATACCATGTTTACTTCTCCTTTTATTCCCAAGCTATCTTCTTACCCCACAGGAATAGATATCCTGGATGTATTTGATGTAGCATTGAGCTGCCTGTTCAGATTCATTCAGCTGTTCATGCAACCTACAAAAGGAAAAAATTGGGTCACTGGAACAAGGCTGCCCTGTTGAAGACCTTCTTGGTCTGTGAGAAAGTACCTGCTCACCCTGACCTGGACTAAAGCCAGGTCCTTTCCTTCAGAATTTGCAGGACATGCAACATGTACAACCCCTTGTGGAAGGAGATGATCCAGTTTGCATTCATGCTGACAGACAGAGAGGCAGTCAGATAGTGACTAGACAGCTAGAAGCAGTGGCCTTTGTATATTCTGTTGCATTTTAAACCTTTTAACAGACCTTTGCCATTCTACTTACTCACTATTTCCTCCAGTGCTCCTTCTTCCCCTGCTACAATCCAAATTTGTACAGCAGTTTCACTTTTCATTTGCCCCCTTTTTTCCCCTTCTTTGCTTTTCCCACTTCATGCTGCTTTATCCCCACCAAAACAAAATTAGTGCTGATGTCACAGTATTCACATTAGACCTCTTTCAATGTCACAGCTATATACTAGAAAGGAAAAATAAAACCAAGCTAAAATTTTATACATCATATACTGTCATGGTCTGCTTTTAAGCTGCAATACAACAAATACAATTGCTAGTACTACATGCTCAAAACACCTCAGGATTCAGAAGTCATTTGCAACCCACATAATGCTGTCATTCTCTCTAGTTATCCTGATGGAAACAAAGATAAAGCTGGACACCAAAATTTGCAGTCACTACAGCCCTAAAGATACCAATTCTTACACAGCTCCAAAAGTAATATTGGCTAACAGCAATTCCACTTGTTTACATTCTGTATTTTATCATTAGGTATCAAAGTGTGACTTGCATTCAACACAACCATGACAGTTCAGTGAGGGTACATACTCACTTGGCAAGTTTCACAAGTGCCATTTTCTCCACATCTCCCACAGCATAAGCTCTCCAATAGCACTGTCAAGGAAGGAAAGTCACTGAAGCATGCCACAAAAATTAGTCCAGTTCATGACTCCAGCATGCAAATCAGAAACAAAAAATTACAGGGATTGTCAGCAAAAAGGGCATGTATCTGCAGACCACTCCTTATTCATCAGCTGCTCTAGTTATACTGCAGCAGTACTTCCCCAACGGTAACTGCCAATGAGTTTAGGTAGCACTAGCTATATAATTTTGCTGCAATTTCACCCAGTGTTCTGCAAGACACCCTAGTCTTACACATCAGTTCTCACCTTCTTAGCTTCCACCAACTGATTGAGTTTCTCATAGCATTCTCCTAGAGCAACCAGCATACGAGAGTCATTTGGTCTGTAAAAGAGCAATTCTTCAGGTAGTTTAATGGACTGCCAGCTGATCTCAGGGTGAGGGGAAGATGGGGGGTGGTCAAGGAAAAAAAATAATCTACACCTGGGAGTCTGTCATCCTTTTGCATAAATCATCACTCTTACTCCTGACCAGTCACCCTCAACATTTAACTGACAAAGCTTTTGTTAACAGTTAAATAACACAACTAAAAGGATTTGGAACAGTGGGACTGCACACATCACAAAGCACAGATGTTTTAGTCCTTCTCCAACTTAGTTCTTGCATGTAAATTCCTTAGCCAGAATCAACCAGGTCAGAATGAAGACCAAAAAACACGGCTCCATTCTCAACTCTACCTGAGCTGGTGGGCGCGTCGGTAGTAGTAGAGACAGTAAAATGGCATTTTGAGGATTTCATAGGTTTGCCCCAAGCCATACCATGCTCTGTAGTCCCTTTTGTTCACCTCTATTGCATGCCTGTCAATGAAAAGAAGATGAACTAGACAGAAATTCAGGATCAAAACCAAGACCAGCAAAAACACTAAGAAAAAATAGAAGATACTACTTCAGAAGCAAACACAATTTTGTGCAGTACATGAGCGGTACCTATAAGCCTGGATAGCTGCAGATGTGTTCTTCATCTCCATGTACTCATGTCCCATAAGTGTCCAGGCTCCTAGATAACGAGGATTCAGTTTCAAGGCCCTCTGGAAATAGAGTGCTGCTTTTTCATGCTGGGAACGCAAGCTATAATAATTTCCTAAAGTAAAAGGCATAATATTTAAACAATTTTTAAAAAACCACAACCAACCAACAAAAAAAAGCCAACACCAATAGAGAAGTAGAAAAAATGATGTAATGTGTATTATCTACTACCTCCTAACAAATTTTAAAAGAGTCCTAATACAGACAGAACTAATTTAAACCTCAAGAGACCTAATAGCACTCTGTTCACCAGTCTTCTGGTCAATCCTTTTCCAGCTGTACCAATTCCATCACTTTGGAGCGTCATGATCTAAGAAATCAATTTCCTGCTCCTGACACACAACTACTTCTACTGGAGTTTGAAGACTATAAAGGGATTTTTAGGTACATGGGTCTACTTTCTACCCTAGTACTATTACAGCAGCCTTCAGAGAGAAATGAGGGAAAAAGGTACTCTGTCATTTTGTCTGCTTTTCAGGCTGCCTGAATCCAAATTCAAAAAGTGGCGATTTTAATTGCCTTGCCAGCTTATCACTTCCTCAAGTGTTTCCAAGATTCCCTCACACAGCCCACACCCAGCAAAATAAGATGTAAAAATAACCTTACAGAATTGGCTCTCACCAATTACACAGCAGGTCTCAACACGGTACTTGTCTATCTCACAGAGATTATGAGCCAGGTAGCTCAACTCAGGCTTCATGCCCTAGTGGAACAAAAGAATCAAGTAATGAGAGAGCACATTATGCTTTGAAAGAAATTGCAGTAAACAATTGGCAATGCATACAGTGCCTCTCTTCCATGGAGTTGGGAAGAGGAGAGCAAGTATTCAGAGAGGCCAGACACCACCAGCTGCTTCACCAATGTTTAACATACCTCCAACAAACACCATCACTATGGACAGGCCACAGGAAGAATGCTTACCCTTACATAGAGTAAGTTGGAGAAAGTGTCCATGTTTTCTATCCTGTAAGGATCTTGTTTCCTTAGCTCATTAAAGATCGATAAAGCTTTGTCAATATCTGATGAAAGAACAGCATATGGGACATCAACAACTATAAATGCCCAGTTTGCATTAAGGGGGTCATTCCCACTTAGTGTCACTGACCTCTTATATTGTGGTAGGCAACTGCAATCTGAGAGATTATATAAGTGCTTTTGGAAAATCCTGCATCAATGAGAGACTGATACTTCTGTAGAGCTTCCTCTATCAGCTGCAGCTCTGTATAAATGTGTGCAAGAAAGAACTCTTTCATCCATGTATCTGGCAAGGAGAGGAACTTCAGCTAGCAAGAATCAAAGAAAAGAGATGACAATTAGAAGTATTCTACAAGGTACACGTCACAAAGAATCCATTGTCTTCCCTCCAATGACTTAGCAGATGGTTCTGAGGTAGGAGGCCTTCCTGCAGTCACTTTCTTAAACCCATTTGGTCAATCAGGGAAGAAATTGCCTTCAAATATAACATTACCTGGCTCTTGCTGCAGCTATTAAATTCAGACTTTCTTCCTATGTTTAAACATCAATATCATAACACTAATTTCAATGAACCATGTAAGCAGACTCAAAATTATGTAACAAAACTGCACTTCCTTTTTCCACAAATTGGTAACATTCTTCTGCATCACTTTTTAAAATATTTTTTTAAGTACTGTTTTAAATACGTCATCATTCAGAATTTACTGAAGAATTCCAGAAGTGAACTCAAATTCCATACAGAAAGAAAAATAATCTATTTTGATTTTATATCTTAAGTTAGTTTCCCTGATACAATTCACCTCCTATGTGGCTTTGCACATTATCTTTTCAGCTTTGAACGTAGCAATTATATATATCCTTTCAAGCTATGAGAAGTGCTCAATAACCGAGGAATTAGAAACAGATTAATAAAAAGTAAAAAAGGGACATCTCTTAGGAGGATCTCCTTCATGTGACAAGATGATAACTCCTGACAATGACAATTGCTTCCAAAAATACATGAATTGGAAATTTCTTAAACCACTTTGTGGGGGAATGATAAGAAATTAGCCGTGCCTGTATAAGATTTTCAAGCTACAGCACAACAAGCTATTGAAGATAAAGAGGATTTTACAACATAAATTACAGTCATGGATTGCCTTGCCTGACAGTGTCTCACGGAATGAAGCAGTGGGCAACATCAATCTTGTGGAAACAGAAACACTGGTCACTGAATCAGGCTAAACTCTTGAGCTTTGTTACCACATCTTGGTATCTCCAAAGTTTTACCATCTCTTTATCTGTAATCAAGTTGCAAAGTTCCAGCCAAGCTCCCCAGTGCAAAGGCAGAACATGAGCAGCTTCAACAAACACATCTATTGCTTCTTTCACCAGGTCCAGTTTCCGCAGCACAACACCATACCTGCAAAAAAAAAAGTATCAGCTTGACAAGAATCATGCAATTCTGCATATCCACACAAATATTTAAGAAATACGTGCCAACACTTACAGATAAAGGCCAAATCCATCCAATTCCTGTGCCTTGTGTTTCTTGCTGAGCTCAACTCTCAATTCTCGTAGAGCTTCATTTTTCACCTGTCCTTTTTCCAGAGGTCCTACATGAAGAGAAAGTCACACAGCTAGCTTTCAATAAGGAGTCTCACCACAGCAATGCCAAGTCTAGGGTACAGTCAGAATTATCACTGACATGACGGCTTCCCAGCCTGTGTTTATGTTCCCCATTTTAAAGAAAATTGCTTAGTCTGGTAACCCAGTTTAAAAGAGGACCCCTAAGAGATGAAAATCTGCAACCTGTAATTAAGCCAATGAATCGAAAGAGAAAGAAAGAAATAATGTTACAGAACTTATTATCCAAAAAGTAGAGGGGAAAGCCATAGACCCAGGATGAGTTACAAGAAGAGTCAACAGCAAAAGCTTCATTATCTCATCATGCATTTCCTGACACCAGAGACTTACCCAAACTATCAACTGTCTCATCATCCTTTTTCTTTTCCCCTGACTGTGGAAAAGAAAGAAAATCCAAGATTATAATATAATAGTGTTTTTCTTGTGTTTGCTGCAGCACTTGCAGCAGTGTTTAAACTGAGTTTTCACAGACAGCACAGTTCTGAAAAGAACAGCTCTATCTTTCTTTACCCCAACACAGAACTTGGACTTCAAGGTGGTCATTAGGAACCAAGCAAAAGAATAAGCAAAAAAATAAGATATGCCAGGGAGGGGTCGGAAGCAGAGGAGTTCAGTGCTAGGAGGCAACCCTTTTTCTACCTTACCAGGTATCTGGAGTACATGTACAAGAAGTAAGCTTTCTGGCTCTTGCAGCCCTGTAAAAAGTAGGCAGCCCTGTCATATTCCTTGAGATCAAAGTAAGACTTGGCCAACGTGTAGGCATCCAGATCACGAGCATCCTCCTGCAGGGACACACAAGAGTTTTAAGACCCAAGAAGCTCTTTAGAAAAATCACGGTTACAAACATAGCAGTGAAATTGCTCCAAAAGCTAAAAAATTTAGTTTGTCCATCTTTAGAGATGGTTTCAGTAGTATCAGAAAAGTTCCTCCACTCCCTCACATGATCCGATTCTAGAGTTCTCAAATAACAAGTACAGACTATTTAAGAATATTTAAAATAAATGGTGAGATTTCAGAAACAAATTGTGGCAAGCTGCCAGAAGGCAAGGCTTAGCTGTTCAATTAGTATGAAAAACCATAAACAAGAAATCTACTCAGGAATTCCACATAAGAGAATATTAATCTGCTAACATACAAGAGAACACTTCCTTGGCAATTATACCTTGAAATGCATTTATGACTTGTTACACTTCTATAACACACCAGGACACACACCCCTGAGTTCTACTGTATTCCTACAGAGGTGGGGATTGAGACACAACTTGTTTCTCTTGTGTCTTAGCAAGCACAAGTTTAATGGCAAAACATAATTTGTATTAAAATAAATTTTGACCTCAGTAAAGAGGAATAAAAATAAACTAGCAGGCATATGATTTCAAATTTGGCTTACAGAGTGCTTCATTTAGGACACAGCAACAGATAATGCTTTCATCTGGGAAAGCACATTAAGCTCTCTGGCCCTGTTGAACACACTACGGAAAGGATGTTCCCAGCATAATGACAAGATCGTAGCTCAGTGCTGACTCCTGCCCGTGGGACTTAGGAGATTGCAATCACGTATTTTCCTCCACAGTTAAGATTAAACAGCCCACCCACACGAGCTGCAGCACCTTCTAGGGCTCACAGCCACTTCCCCCCAAGCACAGCCTGGGCCCATACCTCGGTGAGCACGGGCGGAGGCGGCAGCTCGCTCAGTGGCAGTGGCTCCAGGGCGAATGCAAGTTCAGCAGCCCTAAGGGAAAGAGAGCAGTAGGATTATTGAATCATCGAGGTTGGAGGAGACCAGGTCCAACCTTCGGCCCAGCACTACCAGTGTAATCCCTAAACAACATCATCTAGCGCCAGATGCAGACACCTCTTAAGAACCTGCAGTGACTCCACCACCTCCCTGAGAAACCTGTTTCAGCGCCTGACCACCTGAACATTCAAAAAACATTTTCCAATATCTTATCGAATCTCCCCTATCTCAACTCAGGGCCATTTCCTCTGGCCCCCTCCCCGCAGGCACAGCAGGAGACTGGCTCCCACCTCACTGAGAACTCCTTTCAGGGAGTTGCAAAAAATGATGAGGTACCCACGAGCCTCCTCTTGTCGAGACGAAACAAACCTAGCTCCGTCCCATCCTCCCTCCCGGCACAGAACGTTAGCCCGGGGTCCGCCG